CTCTTGTTTTCAAGCCTCCCGTTGCTGGGATTACAGGCATGTGGCACCATGCCTGGACTCAGTGGCCGGCTCAGTGCGCCCAGGGGCGGGGCCAGCATGGCATGGGGTACCAGTGATTGAACCCTGGTCCCTGTGCTTGCCTAAGCAGGCGCTTAGTTCATTGAACTATTTCTCCGGCCCTAGTCTACTGCTCTTAATTTCAGTCTCAGGAAAGTCTCTGGATATGAGCAAAATGCAGACAAAGTTTCTACCAACGCATAACACCACATGTCATCTGGAGTCCAGCAGCCAGTGCAAGTCCTTCGTCCCAGCAGAAACCTCCCAAGCCTGGTCTTTACTGGCAGGATTTCTATCAGCCTTCTGGTTTTCTGAGTTCTGACCAGAATCTTCCATCAAGTAAGGCTCAGGTGCTCTGGCTCTACTTTTTCAGCTGGGATCTCTGAACCTTTCCTAACTTCCTCTTCCCACAAGTCAGCTCCAAAGGTTCCTAAGCCACACAGTCATGTACAGTTACCACAACAATTGGACTTCTCTCATATCAAATTGTGGGTTACTTTTCTCTTGTTGTAGGGACAAAATATCTGGTGCCCAAACTTAAGGAAAAAAAGCTTTATTTAGCTCACAGTTTGCAGAGGTTTGAGTCTATAATTGGCTGGCTAAAAGGCAGGGCAGTATCACAGAGGAGAAATGGTTCGTGCCAGGCAGAAGATAGCAAAGCAGGTCGGGGAGATAGTTCAGGGGCATAAGCACCTGCCTGGCAAGCACAAGGTTCTGAGTTTGATCTCTTGTACAAAGAGAGAAAGAAAAACAACAAAGGACAGCCTCTTTCTGTCCCTTACATCTTTTTTTTTTTTTCAGAAACGGGGATTGAACTCAGGTCCTTGGGCTTGCCAGGCAAGTACTTATTCAACTGAGCTATCTCCCTGGCCCCTGGCCCTTACCTCTTATCCAGGCTACTTAGGACAGGCTGCACTCATACCCTTAATCCTAGTGTCCTTGAACCTAACTTTGCACCAAGAATCAATTCTAGTGCCACATACTCCAGACCCAGCCACTTCTGAAAAATCCCTACCTATGACTGCATGAGGCTTTGGGGTGGGGCGGGGGGAATCTAGACACAGGCCGTAACAGACGCTTGACCCACTTTGGTGCAAACAGTAAAATTGTACCCCAAACCTTCCAAATGAGCTTTTCCACCAACTACAAGAGCACCCATCAGTACTGATGCCCTCCTTCCCTGACAAATGGGCAGACCTGATTCAGGGCATCCTAGCAGGGCCCCATAGGGACCTGGCTGTCAGGGGCTGTTTCTAGCTGCTCTGGCTGGGCACAGTGCCTGTGTGTGGAGTACTGTCATTGCCAGCACCATTTGTGTGAGAAGACAGCACAGGCCAAAAAACAAAAGGACACAAGAAAGCCGGGCCATAAATGAGGTTGCAGTCTTGTGAATGAAACATCCAGAAGGAATGCAGGTCTGGGCACCACTTGGCAGGGGAATGCTTCTTGCCTAGGTATCTGCAGAAATAGCTTCCTATGCCGCACGGTTAATTCTCGGGCCTCTCCAAGGTATCAACACGGCAAAGATCACGCTCTTGGGGCTAGGCTCACTTCCTTGCCTTTCTGGCTTTGCTCTGTCTTTCTTTCTTTCTTTCCTTCATTTTGTGTCCTCCTTTCTACCACATTTATTTATTTATTTATTTATGAGTCCTGGGCATGGAACCAAGGGTTTTGTACGTGCTGGGCAAGCGCTCTGCTCTGCCACCCAGGGACACCTTCATCCCCCAGTCTCAATTTAAAACAAGGTGATGCCTTTTACAGAAGGTGTGGGGTGCTGGAGACAGCGGCCCGGCCAGGCCCTGACCTGTAGCACTGGAGCCTGGAACGCTAAGCACTGAGTCCTGATCGTCCCCACTGCGTGGCTGAGAGACCTGGGGCCCATGCCAGGAAGTGAGTAAGTTACAGGGTGCAGGCCAGCAGGGCTCATAAGCCGTGGGGTTCAGGGAGCACAGCCCAGCTGCCTTCTGCCCCTCAGCGCCCTGGCTTCCACTCATGTCTGCGATGCCTTGGCCTGGCAGATCCTGTTTTCTCCTTCGCTCTTGGTCCTCCTTCCATTTGGGCTCAGTTGGATCTTCTTGCTGCTGGCCCTGTCGCGCCAGTTCTGCAGTAGGCTCCGTCTTCTGCATTTCTCTAAGAACCTGAGCAGAGAGCCCTGGTCCTCACCCCTCCCAAGCCCCACTCTGCAAATTCTGAAAATTGGCCTTAATTCCTGGCCCAGGAGTTGGGGGCAAACTTTGTAGCAAATGTTTAACTTCTTTTGTCTTTTGGTACCAGAAACCGAACTCAGGATCTTACATTTGCCAGGCATGCACTATGCCACTGAGCTATATCCCTGGATCAACTTCCTTTTTTAAATTTTTTTGAGAAAGATACATATTATTGTCTAATAAAGACTATGTCACCTACAATCCAGCTGTATCTGCGTGCTCTATTTCCTTGGGGGACGTATTGTTCCCTGAGGAAGTGTGCCTGAGCCCAGGCTGTCTGTCCAGCCAGGCTGTGTTGTGAGAAATGGCTAACGAAGGTGACCCTAGCTGGCCTTGGCCCCTGTGGCAATGGGCACAGAGTGTGGGGATGACGGTGCAAATGGGCAGATGACAGAGGAACAAACAGCTCTCCAAACCTCTACTCCTGGTCACAGATCTGAGAACTGCTTTGTCACCAGCCCTGGTCACAGATGGTGACAAGGAAGACCACAGATTTGTGACAACTTGCCCAAAGTCCCTTGGCTGGAGAGGGGCAGGGACAGGACTGGACCCCACACTGCTCCAAATGACAGAAGAAGAAGAAGGCTGGTTGCAGTATGGTGAAAAGTCTGTGGGGAACTTCACAGTTGCCAAAGTGCAGATCTACTGGGAGAAAAAAGACGTGGATAGGAAGGTGAGGAGACCCGAAGGATGAGGCAGTGTTACCCTGCGAGGCACAAGGAAAAGGAATTGTGTGTTTGCCTCGAGAAGGAGCAGGGTGATAAGAAGAGAGTGGAGAGCAGGAAAGGCGTGTGCTAGAGGTAGCATGTGACATCACCAGGCTGCAACCCCGAGGGCCAAGGCGGCCAGGAGGGCTCCAGAGGCATCTCACCTCATTGGCGCACAGGACAGGTGTGATGTGAGCTGTGGTTCTCAGCCCCAGGGCTGGGTGTGAAGCAGGATCTGTGCTGAGTGTGTAAGGAGTGCAAGAGTGTTGAGAGGATGGTGCGTGTAGGAGGCAGGGAAGAGCACAAGGCTAGAGGGAGACCTGGGCAGGGGGACCTTGGGAGCCACTAGGGATTTCCCAGGGCACCAATCTGCAGCACAAACTGATCTTGGCCAGGTCTCAGGGCAGTGAGCGCAGAGGACACCCGAGTTCCTCGTGTTTGGTCCAGACAGGCCCCTGTGGGTTGAGTCCCGGAAACGGGCAGGGACTTCTGGGCAGTGCTTGTCATCACATGTTGGTTCTTCTCTTTTCCTTCTCCTTCTTCTTTCCTTCCTTCTTTGCAGTACTAGAAGACTGAACCTGACCCATCACACTGACCTACATCCCCAGGCCATTTTTTTAATTTTTGATTTTAAGACAGGGCCTCCCTAAATTGCCCAAGCTGGGCTTGAAATTGTGAGATTATCCTGCCTCAGCCTCCCACAGTGCTGGGATTACAGGGGTGTGCCACCACACCCAGTTTTCTTTGTTTCTTAATGCTTCTTTTTCTTGTAGTTGTGCTGGGAATTCAACCCCAGGCCTCACACATGCTTTCTCAATTCTTTTTTTAAAATTTTATTTGGTTGTTACAGGGTCTCACTATGCAGCTTGAACTCATAGTGATCCTCCTGTTTTCAAGCCTCCCAGTGCTGTGATTACAGGCACGCAGCACTACAAGTGGACTCTGTGGCTGCCTGGACTCTGGCAGGCTCAACTCGCCCTGGGGGCAGGGCTGGTGTGGCATGTGGTGCGGGGATTGACTCACAGTCCCTGCATTTGCCTAAACTGGCCTAAGCAGGCACTTCAGTCTGCTGAGCTATCCCACCAGCCCCTCCATTCTTGTAAGTACAGTTCAGCAGAGTATACAGTCTGCAGTAGCAATTACGATGTTTCCAGCCTTCTGTACTACAAAACCATTAGCATTTGAATTTAAGAAGCCCTCATGATTATTCTCACGTGAGCGAGGTGGAGCCAGCAGCAGCTTGGGATGACCTGGGTCTCCCTCCTCCCCACCTTCACCTCACTCCTAGCAAGATCCCTGGTGTCAGGTTCCCCAAACCCTCACTTGTTCATACTTTTACCACCCTCTGCACCAAGGCTGTAGGAAGTAGTGCTTGGAAAGTGCTTAGAATTGTGCTCAATAAAAACCAATTTGATCCATTATTATTTTCTTCTGGAGAATGTGGCTAACAGCCTGTCAAGCAAGGTTAGTGAGAATTAGCAAGGATGCGCGCGATTTGCCAAGTACCCTGCCACCTGTATGTGCATCCACGGGCACGCGCGCGCACACACACACACACACACACACAAAAGCGTGCGCGCACGTGCAACACTTCTTTGCCTTGCTCAAATTAGACTCAAGTAGAAGATACTGAGTCTCCTAAGGGAAGAAACTTTCTAAAATTCTACCTTTCCTAAACTCTCACTGGAGCACAGCACTACCCAGCCTCACCCTCCCTTAGCCCTTGAGCGCTAGTAAAGTTACAAAACTCTGGCCCCCGGAGAGTCAGCCCCAAGGACACCCATCTCGGAGTTTGCGCCTGGAGCTTGACCCCCCGGGGCTGGCCTCTCAGTCGATTAAATAGGTACGTCCTCTTTGATTGACAAGGGCAGGGGCCAGTGCTCGCCAAGGGGAGGCCCCTTGCGCGCGCTAGGGGGCGTGCCCTATAGTCCAATCCGGAGCGCTGAAAGGGTTTCGGGGCGGGGCTCTACGGCTAACAGCCAATGGAGCGAGCCTAGCGGGCGCGGCGGGGGCGGCGCGGTGGCAGCTGGCGGCAGAAGCGGCCGCGGCGGGTCTGGGCAGGGCTTGGGCAGCGCGGCCGAAGCGAGGCGCGAGCCGGACCAGAGGTGACGCCGTCACGGCCGGAGCAAGGCGCGCGGTGGCCGAGGTGAGGGGCGCGCGGATTGGGCAGTAGGTCCGGACTCGGCGGAGCGGGTCGGCGGCGGGGGCCCGCGTCCTGTCAGGCCGCCCGCCGCGCCAGTGGCGAAGTCTGTCAGGCCGCGCCGCGCCGCGCGGAACTTCCTGTCTCTGGGAGGGGGCGCGGGGTCCGGCCCCAGGCGCGGCGAGCGGCGGAGCGCGCGTGGGGTACCCTCGGCAGCGGGCGGGCGAGACGGCGGGAGTGGCGCGGCAGCGCCGGGGGCTGGGCAGAAGTGGGGGGCGGGCGACTTCGGCGCGTCCGCGGGGCTGGGAAGCGCGGCCGGGACCGAGCGGGACACGCGGATGCGCCCCTGTGGGCGCCTTGAAGCGCGTCCTCCATTTCCTTCCTTACCTCCCTCCCACCCTCCTGTCCCGAGTCCGCGGAGGGTGGGGACCCAGCCCTTCCTCGGGAGCACGACTCGGTGCTGGGAGCCGAGCAGGCGCCAGTGCCCTCTGCTCCCCGAGTTTCCCGAGTTCACTGAATCCGAAAGGAGAACTCCCTCCTCTTTTCTCTGGGGCTCGAGGGTCACATTCACCCCGGGAGGTGAGACAACTCGGAATTTCAGTGATGCATTGGGTTTCGGCGCCCTCACAGGTTGGTTTCGTTTCCAGGCAGAGTTAGTTAGTTAGTTGGGGGAACCAGATGGGCTGTCTCGTTGGCCCACACTGGGAAGCCTTGGAGGTGGACACGCCCCAGGGATGCCAGTTCGGTGCCAGGGGGCGGCTGGGGGTACACACCGTTTCTGGGTCTTGCCTTGTCTCCATTACTCGGATCGCCTGGCTTTTTGCGACGAAGGAAAGTAGGCTGTTGAGTCTCCAGGGCTACTCATTATACTGTTTACCAAACACTCCCAGGCTGCCCTAAAGTGAGAGACCAACTCAAAGAATTTAAACCTGAGTTGCAGATGTGAGCTTCCTCCGTCCTAGTTCCTTTCAGTTACTCTACTGTGCCAAGTTAACTCGGATCCCCCGTAGGCAGTGTAGTCTGCCGGTCCTCCTCTTCTGTCCCCATTCTTACTCTGCTTGATTCACAAGCGCGCCTGCAGCCTCCCCTTAGAGACATTGAGTGGGTGCTTTGCAGCTTGGATTTCTCTTGCTTCATCTGGAAAGCTTTGGTCTGTATGCGTTTAAGCTTAATTCTAGAGTCAAACTTCTGTGATTTTCTTTTAGTAATAGTTTTGAAGCTTTAAAGACAGGGCCGTTAGGCTGATGATATTTGTTACTTGGGAAAGTAACACAGGGGAGTGGATGAATGATTAGGTCTGCTCTCTCTATACAGGTTTTTAGAGACTAACAGCTCTTGAATGAAAATAGTGTTCTTAGGCACATGCTGTTTGGAGCTGAAACTTCATTACTTTTTCAGTCTATTGTTAAGAGGTGGTGATATTTAACTAATCTAAAGGCATGCATATGTAGAAACATCTGTAGTTGCAGCATAGTCTGCTGCAGTGAGCCAAGGGTTGCTTTACCTTGGTCTCGGGCACGCAATCCAGATCTCAGACAGCCCCTGCATGTCTGGGTGGGAACAGAGGTGTCTGTCTTTAACCTTGAGCTGCTTGTCTGCTATTTGTGCTGACTGAGTTAAGGCATGATGGGCTGGCTTCTCCTTCAGAAGAGGTCATCAGTGGATCATTCTAAGATACTATAGAATATCAAAAGATTGAATTAATATTGCTAACTATAATGGCACTTGTTTTGAGAGATTGTAGTGGCATTTATCAAGTATTTTCTGGTTATCCTCCTCTGAACCTCCTCTCCGTTGACTCTGCCCTGCTTTATCTGCCATCTGATTGTGTTTCAGCTTCCTGGAGGCCACCCTGTAGATTGGGCAGGTAATGATTGTGCCACGTGATTGATAGTGCTGCCAATTTTTTTTCCAGTTGTTTGGAACTGCAGCTGCATACCTGTAGGCAGGGAAGCCATGGTTTAGTTATGAAGTCAGTTTGCATTCCACAGGTAGAGCCCTTTCTTTGTGGTCTCCAAAGTAATCCTTCACATACCTGGAAATGCTGTCAGCCAGTGCCTGAGACTTGGCCCTGGGTAGATCTCAGTGGGGGTCCTGATGGTTGTCTAGGAATTCCTGCTGACCTTTGGTGTTCAGGTAGTTACACTGTCGCCTATGGATATCATTTTAAAAGGAGAATTCTCCAAGGATTCTGCACAATGTGAAGTTTTTGTCATCTGTGTAGTTCCAAAGTACCTACTTGGGACAATCGTCATCTGAGAGGCCTAGTTTTTTTTTTTTTTTTTTTTTTTTTTTTTTGTGGTACCACCGATTGAACTCAGGATCCTGCACTTGCCAGGCAAGCACTTTATTCTACTGAGCTATCTCCTCGGCCCCAGTTTTGGTTATTTTGATTAAAATCACACTTCAAAAAGACACCCTCCCACCCCAGGTCTTACTGTGTAGTCCTGGTCCAAGGCCTGGAACTCACTGTGTAGCTCCAGCTGGCCTAGGACTTGCAGCAGTTCTCATGCCTCAGCCTCCTGAGTGCCATCTCCTTTCTTTTTCTTTTTTTCTTTTTTTCCCCTTATGTATTTAGTACAGGGTCTCACTATACAGATTGGACTCGTAATGATCCTCCTATTTTCAGCCTTCCAAGTGCTAGGATCACAGGTGTGCACCACCATGCCCAGTTTCAGTCACTGTCTCAGCTGGGTATCGAACCCCAATCCCTGCATCTGCCTAATAGGCACTTTAATCCACTGAGCTATATGGTTGGCCTTCTTTTCTTAATTTATGTACTGATTTGTGTTTAGCCTACACGATTGCATGCTTATCTTTTTGCATAATGAAAAAGAGTACCAGACAGTTTTATTTTCTGTTTCCTGGCACAGTCTTTTTCTTTTCGTTTTCTTCTTGCAGTACTATGGATCAGACCTTTGCACATTCTAGGCAAGAGTTTACCATTTAGCTATATTCTAGGCCCATTTTATTTCCCTTTTTAGTCTTACGAAAATGTTTCTTGGTGTAGGGATTGAACTAGAGACTAGAGCAGAGAATACAGTGCTACTTCAACTTATCAGAAACCTTGATGAGGAACCTTAGGATGAATAAGGGTAGAAACTTAGCTGTAGCTTTAGAAACTATGCGTGTGTGGCTTGTGTAAAATTCCCTACCTATATGAAATTTATGTGGTTTTGTTTTCCCCTAGAATGTGGGATAGTAGAGTAAGAAATGTATGGTGGTAAGGAGTCCTGGGCTCTGTCCAGCCTTTGTCGGACTAACCCTGGGGTGATTGACACAGATCTTAGGGCCTCAGCCTTCATATCTGTAAGATGAAGGGCTTAGAGGTTCTTTAGCTTTTGAGATTCTGATAACTGTGACCCCCCCCCTTCCCAGAAATATACATATGGACAGCATCAGGGGCCTGGGCCCTGGTTAAGAGCTGGATCACTTCATCCCTACGCTGCCTCTTCTGTGCTGCAGTGATATGGTGGTGAGCGGAGCACCACGCTAAGCTGCCTCTTACCCCAGTATTCGGTAATCCTATTTCCCTGGTCATCTTGAGCTAATAATAATAGTGACTTATATATTGTAGGGGACATGCTTTCTAAAGTGTTTTCAAGAAGCACCTAAATCATTCCTGAATATTGGTAGCTCTCTATGCCTTCTTTCTTTCTTATTTTTTAATGAAGAAAGAGATACTAAGCTCAGCCACCACTTTGGTAGGACCCTGCATTCTCTGGCCGAGGATCAGAGCTGCCAGCGTGGGGTTTTTCCATTAGGTTTTGCTTCCTTGGTGGTTGTCATTATGAGTTATGTTTGGTGGAGTAAATATCTCAGAATGTGTCACTTGCAGAGGAAACTATTTGCTCATCTGAAGAAGTATTTTACTGTTGGAACTTGGATCCTTAAACACCTTTCTGTCTATGAAAAGCTTATTTTTATTTTCTTGCTACATTTTTCATAGGGGCAAATTTACAGAACTTGGTTTATTTATTTATTTAGTGTGTGTGTGTGTGTGTGTGTGCATGTGCATGGTCTCACTATGCAGCTTGAACTTGCAGTGATCTTCCAGTTTTCAGCCTCCCCAGCACTGGGATTACAGATCCAGGCCACGATGCCTGGCTGCTCAGTGTCCTGGGAATGGGGCCGACTCAGTGTGTGGGGTGCCAGGGATTGAACCAGAACTTGGGTATTTTCAGCAATGTTTATTGAAGGGTACATTGAAATGATTACTTTTTCAGTTGCTTAGCATGTGAAAAAGTTATGAAATAAATGTTGGGTGAGAATTCCAGACGTTGAAGTTCTGTCCAAATGTCCTCAGGGATACCATGAGGTCCCTTCCTGGGGCCCAGGACCTCTGGGTAGGTTTGAAGTTTGGGTGTGGACTGTGCTGGTGACCATGCTGAACAAGTACTGGCTTCTGGGGTTCTCTGCCCAGGTTCCTAGCATTTTATAGTTTTGTTTTGTTTTGTTTTCCAGTTCATTAACAGTAGCATCTCAGCTGAATAAAGACCTCATTTATATGAAAGCACGTAAGTGAAACTGTAAGGCCATACAGATTTAGATGGCTTATTTCTGGTTAATGTAGTCATCTGAATGAGATGTTTTCATTATGCAGGTAGGGTTCTTTTCCCTCCCACAGTAGGTGTCGCTCATTTGTGGCCCATGTGGGAGAAAGCCCTGTGCTCCCGTCACTTAGTGCCAGTGTCTGTCAAGAGAGGGGCTGACCAGCATTCAATGCCATTTCCCAGTAAATGCATTTCAGATACCCAAGATTAAGGGGTTCTTAGGGCGGGCCAAATAGCTCAGCAGACTTAATGCACCTGCTTAGGCAGAGTGCAGCAGCCAGGCTGAGGTTCCTCCTCTTGGCTTGCTGTGACGGTCCTGCCCCCGGGGCACGCTGAGACCACAAGCAATTGAGACTAGGCCTGGTGGCACCTGCCTGTAATCCCAGCTCTTGGTAGGCTGGAAACAGGAGAATCACTACGAGTCTGTTCTATGTAGTGAGACCCTGTAAACGC